TAATTTAGAAGTATACAACTTTATCCAATTATGTATGTTACTTGCTAAGCCCATTTTGCCTTTACCCCAAAGTAAAGAAAGATACCAAAACTTTCCCCACCAAGTAGGGTTTAGTACCAAATCCTTCAAATTCCATTATCCTCTCTCAAACATCACCCAAACCCACCAAAAGGCCAAGAACGTTGGTCACAGAGCCTGAATGTTGTCTCATCGAACCCGAACTAAAATCCAATCCCGTGAACCCCATAATAATGCCCAGATTGACTTCTCGTCACGGTACCACCAGTCCTCTCATCTGGTGTGCAGCTATCATTTGTGCTATAATCTCTATTGTTGTAATCATTGGTGGCATTTTAGTCTTCGTTGGTTACATGGTCATTCATCCTCGAGTTCCCATCATTAGTGTCACGGATGCTCACCTCGACTTCTTAAAGTACTGGTTATTTTTTCCGCAACTCTTCCCTTTCCTTGATCACGAACTTAGATCATTAATGATCGATATATTTTTCTCAGGTATGATATAGTTGGAGTTTTGCAAACGCAGTTAACAATTGTGATTCGCGTAGACAATCATAACGCTAAGGCTCATGCGTTGTTTGATGAAACCGAGTTCAAGCTAAGCTATGATGGGAAACTTATTGCGATTTTAAAAGCGCCTGAGTTTGAAGTTGTTAAAGAGAAATCAATGTTCCTTCCTTACTTGGTTCAGTCATATCCAATACCATTGAATCCAACTTTGATGCAAGCTGTAGACTATGCGGTTAAACAAGATGTTATTACGTTCGAGCTCAAAGGTGGCTCGAAAACTCGGTGGCGAGTCGGACCATTAGGATCGGTCAAGTTCGAGTGTAACCTTAGCTGTGAGCTTAAGTTTAGACCTTCTGATCATAGTTACATTCCATCTCCGTGCACTTCTTCTCATAAGCATTAGATACTCTATCTCTCATTTGTTTTACTTTCCCTTTCACTTAATTAGTTTTATTTTACTTTTTGGGATTGATATATATTTTTTTCTTTCTAAAATAATTGCTGTAGGTAATACTACAAATTTATTCACAATGATATCAAATGAATATGAAAGAAATTCAAGAAATTTTGATATTTTCGCTCAACAATTTGACTGGAAGTTTATATGATTGTTTGGAATAATAATGACTGAGAGTAATATCTTTTGTAAGTTTTCTATTTCAACTAAAATCACAAATGATGGATTTCTTTTAATGTTTTTTAATTAAGAAAAAATTACATTATAGAATAAGACTAATAAAGTACTGGAATATGAGTTAGGGAAAGTGGAGGGAATGAAAAAATTCGCACATATATCTATCCGTTTTTAAAAACGAACTTTATGTATATTTATATTTTGGTTTAAGCAGTTTAATGATCCCATATCTATTGTATATAATGTTACCTTATTTCTACATGGATTCAATTTAACTATTTTTAGTTTTTGTTTAAATGTAACTCATTGATCAAACTGGAGGAAAATATGTACAAACTCAAGTGTTTTTATCGAAAGCGTTATAACAGAGACTTACAAAGACATGAAATATCTTTTAAAACAGAGCAAAGAAGCAAAAAAGCAGGTCATTTTATAACCAAGGAAAAATATATATAAAATGTATTTTTAATATTAACAAAAAAATCAGTACATATTTAATTTACAATAGTTTTTGAGAATTGCTATACATAATTTAGTTATGACGTTGAAATATGATGTAAAATTTTATGGCTAATTCTTCTTGGTATGATATAAAAATATAACGGTTTATTTTTTGCTATTATATGTTATTTTAGAAAACTATCTATTGTTATATTATACAACCCCATTTTGCATAATATAAACACGAACCGTGTTATATATAAATAAAATCATTTATAACATAAATGATTTTAATCTAACATATACAACAGAAGTCTACAAAATCATGCAACATACATAACACAAACCTGAATCCAAAATACATAACACAAATAATTAGTTTATTAGCGTAGTCTTAAACTAATGAAAACTTGCTAACATGGACCAAAATTTTATCATTCCTATTGAATTAAGAACTAAGAATCTAAGAACCCTAATGATCAAGACTTTGTGTTTATAAGAACAACTCTTCTTATTACCTTTGAAACTAACTCAAAACAAAGGTTACACAATCTCTCTTAATCTCAAAACAACACACACAGGGTTAACCACAACCTTGGCACCTCTATTTATACTAAAACATATTCCTAAACACATTAGAGATAAGATCACGACTTCACCGACTTATAAACCGACTTGTTTATAAGTTTCTTGGGCCTCAAGCCTTTTTCCTTTTATCAAGTTTGATCAACATTCTCCCCTTCAAACTTGATATTGCTAACCTTCATATCTTGAACACCTACAAGCTCCCTCATTTCTTTGAACTTGAGTCGTCCCAATGCTTTAGTCAGAATATCAGCCTTTTGTTCATCCCCGGGAACGTGTTCTAACTCGACTTGGTCATTTTCAACGCATTCCCTAATAAAATGATACCTTTTATGAATGTGCTTGCTCCTACCATGAAACACAGGATTTTTGGCAAGTGCTATAGCAGATTTATTGTCTATCCGGAGCACCACCTTTTCACATGTCTCCCCTGTAACCTCACTCAGAAGATCTTGCAACCATATGGCCTGTTTTGCAGCTTCTGTTGCAGCCATGAACTCGGCTTCGCAGGATGATAGAGCTACTGTGTCTTGTTTTTGTGTACACCATGTAATAGGACAGTCGTGTAGATAGAAGATATGACCTGTAGTGCTTTTGCCATCATCCTCATCGACATTGTGACTACTGTCACTATAGCCTACCAACCTTGTATCCAGTCTTAACTCTGTTTTTCTCTCAAAGACCAAGCCATACCCTTTTGTTCCTTCCAAATATCTGAGTACCTGCTTTAGTGCTGCACCATGAGACTCTTTGGGTTGTTGCATATACCTGCTCAACATACCAACACAAAAGGAGAGGTCTGGTCTTGTATGTAACAAATAACGTAAGCATCCAATACTTCTTCTGTACTCTGTTTCATCAATAGTTTTCTCTTCTGATGCCTTACTTAGCTTTAGATTTGCAGTCATTGGAGAGTGGACTATATTACAGCCTTCCATTCTGGTTTCTTTCATTATTTTAGATGCATATCTTTCTTGTTTCAGAGTAATGCCTCCCTCATGTTGACATACTTCTATACCAAGATAATAAGTCAATTTTCCTAAATCACTCATTTCAAACTTTGTTGACATGTCTCTTTTGAAATCAAGTATCAAATTTAGACTTGAACCAGTGACTAGAAGATCGTCCACATATACTACAACAACGAGTAGATGCTCCTTGGTTTGCTTACGATACAGAGAAGGTTCCTTTGAACACTTTATAAAATTCAACTCTTTAAGAATTGTATTGAGTTTATTGTTCCAGGCTCTCGGAGCTTGTTTCAAGCCATACAGGGCTTTATGCAGCCTGTATACCTTGTTCTCTCTTCCTTTTGTTTCAAAACCTTCTGGTTGTTCAACAAACACAACTTCTTTTAACTCTCCGTGAAGAAATGCAGTCTTAACATCTAAGTGATGCACTTCCCATCCATTTGAGGCTGCTATAGCGACTATGAATCTGATTGTTTCAATTCTTGCTACAGGTGCAAATACTTCTTCGAAATCAATTCCATATCTCTGAACATAGTCTTTCGGTTACAGACGTGCTTTGTATTTATTTATACTTCCATCAGAGTTCTT